CAAGCATCTCTACGAAAATGGAATTAGCAAACTCCCAAATAAATACATTTTGCCTGTTCCTGAACGTCCAATTGTAGATAAAGAGGACCAAGCTGCAGCAATCCCCAACCTCAAACTTCCCATCATCGATTTTGCTCAACTCCAAGGACCAAACCGATCCCATGTCATAAAGTCCCTTGCTTCTGCTTGCGAAGAATATGGATTTTTTCAGGTACATATGAACAGGATTCTATAAAACCTTTTTCAGTATCAAGCTTCAAAATTGAGACCTTCGATTTAAAACTTAATTTTATACTTTTAATTGCGGGATATCCCCTAAGCAACATATTCAAGACATAAACCAACTCTATTTTAACTGTTAATGCAGGTGGTGAATCATGGCATCCCCAATGATGTTATAAGCAAAATGATGGATGTGAGTACGAGGTTTTTCGGGATGCCATATGAGGAAAGAGCCAAGTATATGTCCGATGACATGGCAACGACGGTCCGGTATGGAACCAGCTTTAACCAAAACAAGGACAATGTGTTTTGTTGGAGAGACTTCTTGAAACTGATCTGCCACCCCTTGGAGGAAGTTCTCCCCCATTGGCCATCTACTCCCTCCGACTTCAGGTGGGGAAGAAAAAAACAAATTAATTAACCTATGCCCTCCTCACAATTAAATAAATAATTGTTTTTTAAAAATATATATGATGTGTATTATGATTAAAATTTGAGACTGTTTCATATATATCTTATCTTAACAGGCGTGCAGATGTTCTTAATTACTGAATCAATACTTTATTAGTATTAAAAGAACAACAATTAAAAGATTGTTCGAGAATATAATAAGTTACTCTTGCATGCATGATGATGTAATTTTAACTATTTATTTTCTGGTTTAATTAGGAAAAAGGCGGTGACGTATGCCAACGAGAGCAAGTACTTGTTCCTGATGTTAATGGAGGCAATCCTGGAGAGTCTGGGTCTGTGTGGCGATGTGGCAGGGATGACAAAGGAGGACGATGAGATTTGGGAGCAATTCCAAGATGGAAGCCAGTTGATGGTGGTTAACTGCTTCCCTCCATGCCCTGAACCCGATCTTACCTTAGGAATGCCTCCTCATTCTGATTACGGCTTCCTAACACTTCTTCTCCAAGATGAGGTCAAGGGTTTGCAGATTCAATATAAAGGAAAATGGATCACGGTTGATCCTGTTACCGGTTCTTTTGTTGTGAACGTCGGTGATCACCTTGAGGTGAGTTTAAATGTTCGGTATTTAAAGTCCATTTGAAATTACTTTCACAATACTTCTTCTTACAACCGCACAAGATGTATTGTATGGTATTTTAAAATTTCCTTTTATGGAAAATCAAGTTAAAACTCGATAGTATTCAGGGCTCAACTAAATTTGTGGCTAACATTTAACACGACTACTTTGATTGGACGTTCCATTTGTTTTATGGCTGTGATTACGTACTGATTTTTGTTTTCTCCATTTGAATATACTTTTTACTTATCTGGCTATCTTTTTCATTAATTGTTAGATATTTAGCAACGGAAAGTACAAGAGCGTGTTGCATAGGGTGATTGTAAATTCAACAAGGCCTAGAATTTCAGTGGCGACTTTGCACAGCTTGCCTTACAAGTGCGTTATAAGACCGTCACCAAAGCTAATCGACGACGAAAATCCAAGAAGATACATCGACACAGACTATGCTACTTTTCTTGAGTATATTTCCTCCCGTGAACCCAAGAAGAAATATTTCTTGGAATCAAGGAAATTGATTTGAAAAATCAATTTGAAAAGAGCTGTGTTGTGTTGACTTATAATTTGTAGCTTCAATTATATGGTAGACACAACTATATAGCCATATATAGTTGGAGTGTAGCCTTTTTTTGTTTTTTGTTTTTTAAATTCTTTTCGTTTTAAATAATCTTCATGTCTCTAGGATCCAAGACAAGAAATGTAGATGATAAATTTGTCCCCTTGATCTTGTTTCTATCTCTTGCTTTAGCGGAAGTTACCATTTGTACAACTATCTAAATTATGATGATAATTTCTTGTGTGGAGAGGTTTAAAACATATACTCAATCTCTTTGTCCTTATTATTATTATTATTTATCTTGGTTATACAATGAGATGCAACTATCTCTCATTTTTTATTTCATTTCACTCACATGTCATATGATTTGAACTCAGAACTTCTTACTTCCAACGAAGATAGATAATTATTAAACTATTTAGGTTGTTGACAATCTCTTTATCCTTGTTTGTTTGTTTACATAACTAACTCTATAGTTAATTTTAGTTAATACTTTTATATTATCTTTGAATTACAATTTGAAATTTTTTGAGGTATTAAACAAATTCATGAATTCATTATTAAGGTTGAATGCATTTTGGTTGGACAATATGTATACTCATGATGAGAGTAGGATTTTTCGCATGACAAAACTTGAGTAGAACCTCAGTCAAATTAACATGATCTTAATATTTGTACAAGATTTGAACTAATCAATTAACTTAACTCCGTTCACATTGAAACACAATTGAAGAAGCCAAGATAAGAGTATAATTAGAATAATAAAAACTCCTTTCATTGGTTCATTTTATCTGTTTAATCAAAAGGGCTGTGTATCTTGTGTATCATGTGAATCTTTTAGGGACATTACAATAATTAAAAACTTGAATCTTTATGTTGGAGATAAAGATCTCATGTTTAAATTTTGAAATGGAGAGGAAGTGCTTGAGAATGAGAAAATTACTTTTTACTAATTGTATAGTTCATCATCCTATTTATAAAAATAAAAAAGGGATTATGATCTATCAAATACATATTTTTCCAAATATAGTTAAGTATTTGTTTCGCTTAACTTTTGAAAAAATGTTTTCTGTGTAAAAAGTTGAAATTAAGTGAAATGAAATTTTCTAAAAGGATCTTCAAATCTTTTAAAAATTGTTTTCGGCTTCTACGGGCTAAAAAAAGTCAAGTTTCAAACTCGTTATTTTTGAGATATCCCACCGCCAGCCCCACCCCCAGGGAAAAAAATTGTTAATTTTTTAAGTTAAGCTTGTAAGTTTTATGATTTTTTTCCAATCTCTAAAATTTTTTATACTTATATGATTCACCATTTATGAAAAAAAAATTATTCAAATAGAATTTTTATAATAGTTATAACTAGGCAAAAGAGGGTCTAATATTAAAAACTTCAAAGGCTATTTAACATGAAATGATAATAAATTATAACATCCAAGTTTTATGACGGCCAAAAAAAAAAAACAAAAAATCAAAGTTTGAAGAGAAAGGCAAAACACCCTCCTTAAGCCCCCACACTTATCTCAAATTAGCATGTGGGCCCCTAAATTGAAAATGGTTCATTTAAGCCCTCAAATCCCTCAAATGATGCAAATGAACCCTCAAACTCCTTAAAAGATGCAAATTAGTTCTTATCATTAACAACTCAACCACATGTACCCTCATCTCATTTGTTCTTTTCCTTTTTTAGGTCTCACTTTTCTATATGGATGCTAATATGGATCAAAGGCTTTGAGTAGTTTAAACTCACCAAAGTGTTTAACATTCTTAGATCACATGAATTATTTTATAAGATTTTTACTGTATAAAGGATTTTTTTATTCATGTCAAAATTCACATGGAAAATTGGGACCAAATAAAGGAAAAGAATAGATGTGTGAGATTACATACACTGGCCGTTAATGATGAAATCTGATTTGCATTTTTCAAAGGATTTGAGGATTAATTTGCATCATTTAAGGGATTTGAGGACCTATGTGCATCATTTTTAGTTTAGGGACTCATATGTTAATTTAAGGTAAGTCTAGGGGCTCAAGAGGGGGGTTTTGCTGATGAGAAATCAAGCTGCCGGTGGGCGGAGGCTGCTGCTGCTGCTGCTGCTG